AAGGCATTGTAAAGTGGTATTAACACTTCACGTGATCTTGATTCTATCCCTCTGTTAATGCAGCCTAGCACTGTGTTGGCCTTTTTGGCAGCTGCAGCACACTGCTGGCTCATATTTAGGTGATTGTCCACTAGGACTCCGAGGTGTTCTTTGCAAAAGGAGATCTCAGGCTTGGCCCTGACATATCCTTAAGGAGGGTTCTAAATTAGTGGCACTGATGAATAACTTATGCTACGTTGGATAATTAGTTGAATGGACTGTGTACAGGTCACCAGCTACAATTCTCTATGGTTTTTTCCTATTTTCACTATGAATACTGAGGTTCTCCCCTCCCCCAATAGTGAGCATCAATATGTTCAATTAGATTTAGAGAATACATAATTTATTCTGATTTATTATAGTTTATACTATGATGATGTATTTAATACAGTATATAATTTATATTATAATTTATAATACACTTGTACAAAATTTATTATGATTTATTTAAAGCTTTTTTACCTTGCTTTTCATCCCACCAATCCCAGAGTTCCTTGCAACGTTAATAAGAAAATAACTTAAAGTTAACCCAAAGAACTGTTGCTGCTCTTCTGGTGACTTTGTTAATTGTAATTGGAAAGTAATTAAACCATTACCGAAAGTAACTCATAGCATGCAATGTATATACATCTCTACAGATATAATTTAATCAATTTTATTGATTTAAACTTGATCCAATGGAGTATGATATACTGTTGCCCATGACACAAGTGAATCCTTATTGATAAATATACTCTTATAGATAATATACAAATACTGGGGCCAAAGAAAATTTACTAGGAAATAAATCTCACTGTTTAAAATAGAACAGAGCTGGAAGGGATCTTGGAGATCTTCTAGTCCAGCCCCCTGCTCAAGCAGGAGAACCTATACCATTTCAGACAAGTGACTGTCTAGTCTCTTCTTAAAAACCTCCAGTAATGGAGCGCCCACAATTTTTGAAGGCAAGCTGTTCCACTGGTTAATTGTCCTCACTGTTAGGAAGTTTCTCCTAGGTTGCTTCTCTCTTTGGTCAGTTTCCAATCATTGTTTCTTGTCCTGCCCTCTAGTGCTTTGGAGAATAATTTGACACCCTTTTCTCTGTGGCAGCTCTTCAATAATGCTGGAATACTGCTACCATGTCACCTTTAGACTAGGGCTAGGCAAACCCAAGTCCTGCAGCCGTTCTTCATATGTTTTAGTCTCCAGGACTGTGATCATTTTAGTTGCTCTTCTCTGAATTTTTTCCAAAGTCAACATGTTTTTTGTAGTATGGTGAACAAAATTGGTTGCAGTATTCCAGGTGTGGTTTTACTAGGGTTTTATAAA